GGGGGCCGGGGGCGGCCACTGCACTCCAGTCTGGGTGACAGATTGAGACTCCAACTCAAAAAAAAAAAAAAAATAGGTATTTATTCTTACATGTTTAAACTTCAGTCGCCTTCAAAGTACTCTGTTGCAATACACCTATTGAGACACTTTTTCCACTACTCAAAACAGTTTTTGAACTGCTCAATTTTGATGCCTTTTAGTGCTTCTGCCGTTTTTTGCTTTGCCTCTTCCATATCAGTAAAATGTTTCTCTTTGAGGACTTTTCATCCAGGGAAACAAAAAAAAAAGTCACTCAGAGCAAGATCAGGTGAATAGAGAGGGTGAGGTATGAGGTTCGTGCCATTATTGGTCAAAAACCATTGAACATTCAGCATAGTATGGGCAGGTGTATTGTCATTGTGGAAGAACCAGTCATCTATTTGCCACAACTTGGGACATTTCTTCCACAAATCATGGAACAACTTTCTCAAAACTTCCAGATGAAAGTGACCATTTGATACAAAGAAACAAATTCTGAATGTACTGTAAACGGCCCTCCCTCCAAAAGATAATTCCATTTTTTGAGGCGGTCTCTCCTTGTAGGTAGGATTTTTTTTTTTTTACACTTAACTCTTTTTTTTTTTTGAATGGGAGTCTCACTCTGTCGCCCAGACTGGAGTGCAGTGGCCGCTCCCGGCCACCGCAGCCTCGACCTGCTGGGCTCTGGCGATCCTTCCGCCTCAGCCTTCCAAGTAGCCGGAATTACAGGCATGCGCTACCACGCCCAGCTGATTTTTTGATTTATTGTGGAGAGGAGGTCTCGCCAAGTTACCCAGGCGGGTCTCGAACCTGCGGGCCCAGGCAATCCACTCACCTCAGTCTCCCAGGGCGCGGGATTACAGGCTGAGCCACCAAGCTCGGCTCTCTTAACTCTTAACATTATATTTTTACTATATTGTAATGATAAAACTCTTTTTTTTCTTAGAATTATTTCTGTATTGCTGTTAAATTTATGAAACTTGAATAGGAAGGAGGGTAGTTTTTTCCCTCCTATTATGAGCTGTGGATTCACATTTTCTTTCCTATAATACACAAAACTATAAGAATTTATGTATTAAATACAGATAAATAAAGGAGATGATATAAGTCCTTTTTATAGTTAGGGAACTCTATATTAACTGGATTCAGATAACTAAAAATTTTAAATTGTCACCATTATAATATGGTACAAGATGTAGATGGATGTGAAAGTCATCAAATAGATCCTATAATGGAATTTTTTTCTCTTCTCTTACTAATAGATAAATAAATAAAAAAACATTCTGCTTGTTTGAAGAGAAAGAAGACAGAGACTTTAAATGTCATTAACAAGTATTACTTATTTGGATTCATACATTTTAGGAATCAGGCAAAATCTTGGACTCATTCCTGTGAGGGAACATAGTTGTGTATACAAATTTTTGAATATGATTTTATCCAGCCTCCTGGTGTTTGCTTCTTACAAAACTATTTTTATGATATTGTCTTAAATTTGTAAACTCTGATAGTAATTACTTCCAGATTGAAGAAATGACTGTTAGAAATTTTCTGAAGACATTTTAGGATTGATGCCTAGCCAGAATATTTCTTTTCCTATACATACATGGTATGCTATTGACAATTACCTTGTTTCTGAGAGTACCTATTGACCTGGTGTGTTGGCTACTGCCTCTCAAACTTTAGCTTGAGTGAGAATCACTGAAAATACTTGTTAAAGCAGATCCCTGGACTGTGCTGCTCTCAGTTTGTAAGGGTCCCAGAACTTTGCTTTTTTTGGTGGAGGGAGGGGACGGGTTTTGAGTCAGAGTGTCACTCTGTCGCCTAGACTAGAGTGCAGTGGCATGCTCATGGCCACCACAGCCTCAACCTGCTGGGCTCAGACAGTCCTTCCACCTCAGCTGGAACCACAGGTATGTACCACCATGCCTGGCTAATTTCTTGGTTTATTGTAGAGATGAGGTCTCGCCAAGTTTCCCAGGCTAGTCTCAAGCCCCTGGGCTCAAGCAATCCTCTCGCCTGGCCTCCCAAAGTGCTGGGATTACAGGTGTGAGCCACTGTGCTCAGCCACATTTTTAAATATAGTCCCCTGCCCACTTCTTATTTGCTGGGATATATGTTCCAAGACCCTTAGTGAATGCCTGAAAGAATGCCTGAAACTGTGGATAGTTTTGAGCTCTGTATATACCACACTATGTTTTATGTATATACCTGTGATAAAGTTTATAAATTAGGCACAGTAAGAGATTAAAATTGATTATTAAAAATAGAACAATTATAACTATATTATATTAAAAGTCATATGAATGTGGTCTCTCTCAAAGAATCTTATTGTACTATACCTTGGATAACTGAAACCACAGAAAGTCTAATCCTGGCTTTCTAGCACAAGAAAGCTTTACTTATTAAAATTAAAAGGTTATGTAACGCTATTGTCATTGGTAATGGTTTTCTTTTCGGTGCTCAGGGGAAGCATTTTAATGCATAAGTACAGCATTTATTTATTTATGAATGACAGTGTCTTGCTCTGTCACCCAGGCTGGAGTGCAGTGGTGGGAACCTCAACAATCCTTCCGCCTTAGCCTCCTGAGCAGTTGGCACTACAGGTGTGCCAGGCTAATTTTTAAACTTTTTTTGGAAATGAGAGTCTCACTTTGTTTCTCAAACTGATCTTGAACTCCTGGGCTCAATGATCCTCCTGCTTTTCTATGTGCTGGGATTATAGGCATGAGCTGCCATGCCCAACCAATATATATTTTTTAAACCTCTACTAGAAATCCTAGCTCAGTGGTACATGCTTCTAGTTCCAGCTGATCTAGTGACTGAGGTGGGAGAATTGCTTGAACTCAGGAGTTCATATCCAGTCAACATAGTGAGACCTTATCTCTTCAAAACAACAGCAAAACAAAAACTCCACCTCTACTAGTAATTCCAAAGTATTCTCTAAATGTTTAAATTTACAGATGGTGAAAAGTGACATTTAGCTCAAGTACTGTTTACTTCCTAGGCCATTTGGATTTTATCTCCCTGCCCCCAACAAGCATTTTAAGATTGGAAAGTGATAAAAATATTATTATTGATAACTATTATAACAAAAATATATTATTAGTAAGAATTTACAATTGTTTTCAACTCTCAATAGAAAAAATTTAATTTGATGTTCTTTACATTAAAAAAATTTTTTTTGAGTATTTCCTTTTTTAATGTATAATACCAGGGTTCAGTACTGATCATCTAAGAGTATGCTTAGGGAAATAGTGTCATTAAAAGCCAGATGTGGTGACGTGAACCTGTATTCCCAGCTCTTAAAGAGGCTGTGATGGGTGGATCACTTGCGCCTAGGAGATCAAGGCTGCAGTGAGCTATGATCGTGCCACTGCACTCTAGTCTAGCTGACAGAGCGAGACCTCATCTCTGAAGAAAAAAAAGAAATAGTGTCATCAGAATATAAATAGGTCAAATGGAATGTAATATAAAATGTTAAATAGAGATGACTAGCATCTTTTACTACTTACATCATGATCTGTTAAAAACTAGAAATTTAAATATAGACTTGAGATATAGTTATAAATTAATATGACTTACTATTTAATACAATTATTAAAATCTCTTTTGCCTCTTCAGCTTTCATAGTAACCGTCCAAGTAAAAGGTTTTGTATTTTTAAGAAGCACTCAGAAAATCTCAGGTAAGTAGTTTATCCTTTTTTATTCTTTCTATTGAAAAATTGTGAGTTAAATTTTTTTGTGCATAACAGCTTTGTTGAGATATAATTCACATACTATATAATTTATGCATTTAATAGGTTTTAGTATATCCATAGAGTCATGCAGCAATCACCACAGTTAATGTTAATACATTTTATCATCACTTCAAAAATAACCTGTACCCATTATTGGTCATTGCCATTTCTCTCCAACTCTCCCCATCCCCAGGCAACCATTATCTAATGTCTATCTGTATAGATTTACCCATTCTGGGCATGTCATAAAAATGTAATGGTATACTATGTGGTCCTTTGTGACTGACTTCTTTCATTTAGTGTAATATTTTCTTTTCTTTCTTTTTTTTTTGAGTTGGAGTCTCACTCTGTTGCCCAGGCTGGAGTGCAGTGGCACACTCACAGCCGCCTCAGTGTTGACCTGCTGGGCTCCTTCCAGGTAGCTGGAACTACAGGCACGTGCTACCACGCCCGGCTAATTTTTGTTTATTGTAGAGAAGATGTATCGCCAAGTTGCCTGGGCTGGTCTTGAACTCTCGAGCCTGTGGGCTTAGGCAAGTCACCCACCCTTGGCCTCCCAAAATGCTGGGATTACAGGCGGAGCCACCAAGCCTGGCCTAATAATATTTTCAAAGTTCATCCATGTTGTAGTTTGTATCAATGGTTTATTTTTAAAAATTTGCTCAGTAATATTTCATTGTGTCGTTAAACCATAGTTTACCCACTTAAGTTGTTTTTATTTTGAGGCCATTATGAATAATACTGCTATTATGAACATTTGTGTACAAGTTTTTATTGGGGCATTAAAAAAAATTCTCTTTAATATATGCTTAGGATTGGAATTACTGGGTTGTATAGTAACTCTATGTTGGGCCGTTAAGGAGCTGGCAGAAGTAGCTTCACTATTTTACTCATACCAGCCCTGTATGAGTTTTTCAATTTATCCACATCTTTGCCAGTACTTACTGTTATCTCTTTTTGATTATAGCTATCCTAGTGAGTATGAAGAGGTATTTCATGTGGTTTGCTATAACTTTTTCTTAACCTGATATGGGGTACCTAATTTGAAAATTTTAAATGATTGCTACCGGATATTACAGAGTTCTGTTCATTCTATCCTTAGACCAGAGGTATGACCAATCATTGTTCTCTTGCTAAATTTATTTCAGTGGACCCTTGGTGTCAAGATGAAACCTTCATATATTTGCATTGTTAAATGAGAATAAAAATAAGGCTGTCCAACAGTGTTTGACTATTAAAAAGATATCTGAGCTATTTAGTAAAGTGTTAACACTTTTTAAGTTTTGTAGTAAATATAGCCACTGGAATTCTTGAAAGCAGTATATATAGTCTTTATAATTCTATTTTCTTCTTTTTAAAAGAAAGAGAATGTACAACTTGGTTACTAAACAGAACAAACTATTGATGAGTTTTTCTAAAGGCATTGATAGTTAGCTTTGGTTATAACACACGCTTATCTCAGAATCCACTGAGCACCATTGCTTCATGTTCTTCTGATTTCTTTGGGTTTCGTCTTTGTTTATGTTGTTATTACTCCTTGAAATGTTAATGTCTTTGTTCTACCAAACTAGTCTGCAGAGATAAGTTTAGCCAATACTTATTTTGATACTTTAGGTTAGTGAAAAAGGTGGAAGAGGGAATACCTCTCAGAATCTTTGTGTTTATCATTCTGTATGCCTAGTTTGCTTTTCCCCAGATATTGTATAGTTAGCTCATTTATCTCCTTCAGGCCTCTACTCTGAGTAAGGCTTTCCTTGACTTTTATATTTAAAATTCTATCCTCTTCTGTGTTTTATCCCATCATTCTCTATCTTCTTTTTGTGCTTTATTTTTCTCTAGATCATCTGACATACTGTATATTTTACTTTTTTTTATTGTCCATTCTCTCACTACATTATGTGTGATTTGTCTTTGCCTAGCACATAGAAGTCACTCAGTAAATATTTGTTAGATAAATTAATGTATATGTTGAAATGATGTATGTGGACAATAGGACCTACCTATGATCTTGGGCCAGTAGCTCACAGGGAAAGATAAATTTGATTCAGCTTTAAAAATGTGTTAGTATTACTTTGAAAAGATTTACTGAATCTGGAGAAATAATTAAGCAGTCTTAAATGTTGCCTTTACTGAAAACTTTAATAAGAATAAATAGGGTTTTATTACATTATAAAAATGAGATTTTAATTTGATTTTTACCTCACTGTTGTCAAACTCAGTTGTGTTTTTGATTTTTAAATGAATTTCCTGATTTTAAAGAACTGGGGTGTTTTTCTCTCAACTTTGGTGAGTGTCAAATTGAAAATTGGTCTATTTCTGTGAATGGAACTTTGCATATTTATAATTCTGTACAATAATGATGTATGTAATTACTCTTATTGAAATGGAATATTCATTCTATAGCTATTTATTATGTATCTATCATGTGTATAATGTAGCAGATGCTGTAAAGATTACAGTGATGAAGCAGTGTTGGAACCAACCTTTAGGAAATGCACAGTTTTTTGGGGGTGGGAGTCAAGGTATGAACATAACTGTGAATTTTAATAAGTGCAATGAGAGTTATTTCAGAGAGGAGAAAGATTACTTGGAGTGATCTATAGGTGTTAGGTATATTTGGCTTTAAAGGATGGCTATTGTCTCTGCTTGTAGAAAAGGCACAGGGGGCATTTCAGTTGAACAGACTAAATCTTTTTTCAGCAGTTTCATTTAGAATTCAAATTATTTTGAACAACTTAGCATCATTTATACATTTAATATATTTGATTTTCTTTTAAACAGCACTTCAAATTCTTGACCCAACAAACTCCTAAGTGCTTAACTTTTATAAACGTAAGAAATTAAAAATATTGTAACTTTCCAAGTTCTCCAAAGCATTTCAGTATGTTATAGGTTTAATAATCTTTTAAAATACTCAACTAAAAATCACAAACTTAAATGCATTTTAAATTTGAGTATTAGCCGGGAGCGGTGGCAAGAAGATTGCCTGAGCAATCCTGTCTGGACAACATGGCAAGACCTCATCTCTACAATAAATCAGAAAAATTAGCTGGGAATGGTGGTGCATGCCTGTAGTTCCAGCTACTTGGAAGACTGAGGCAGAAGGATCACCTGAGCCCAGCAGGCTGAGACTGCTGTGACCGTGAGTGTGGCACTGCACTCCATCCTGGGCGACAGAGTGAGACTCCAACTTTAAAAAAAAAAAAAGAATATTAACATATCTTATGCCAATTTTATTTGAATACTTCAAATAGCAAGTGTTACACAGTTTGATCCAATGAGTATAAATCATTACTGTACTCAACAAAAGTATTGTTGATTATGGGAATTGTTTCCCAAACTCTTTGAGAATTTATAATCATTGTGTATTTCATTTAAGAACTGCGATAATCAGTGAAATTTTGTTAAAGAGAATGAATAGTTTAGGCCCCGGCAGGTAGGCACAATGCTGGGACGATGAGGACCTCAAGCTTCGTGATTTCAATCTCTTATTGACTACTTTAGTTATTTCAGTGTTAAATGAGAATAATGTCAACCTTGAATGGTTATAGTGAGAATCAAATGAAATAATATATGGGAAAACCCTTTACACATAGCATGCAGTTGATGGCGGCTATAACATGATCTATTTTTAAAGCCTTTACATCTTTTTTCTAATTTTATCGTCAACTACATAAAACACTAGAGTGTAAACACTATCAGAGCACAGACTGTATTATTTTTTGTTCACCATTATATTCACCATACCTAGTAGAACAGTATATATAAAAACAACTTCAGGAAAGATCTGTTGATGAATGAATGCTCACTTTGCAAACAGATGGGCAAATAGAATGTGACTTGCCGAAGTTAAACAAATTGTTTGTGGGCCCAAGACTGGCTATAGGTCTTTTGACTCCTAATGTCTGTCAATTGGTATGACAGGTAGAAGTTTCTAAAATAAATACTTTTTGTAAATATATGGTAGTATAATTTGGACATAGCTATGTCATTTTCTAGAGAATCTTTTTAGTTATATTAAACTTATATAACAAAAATGGGAAGTTAGAGTTATGACACAAAAAGAAAATCTTTGGAAAAATAATCATTGAACTTGGATGTGAATTTTTATAAAATTTAAAAACCTTTTATGCTATTTCCTTTTTTTTTTTTTTTTTTATTAGGGGCATTAATCTAGTGTGCCTTAATTGTGATTTCCTAGCTGATGTTTCTGGCTTAGATAATATGGCTACACACTTAAGTCAACATGAAACTCATACTTGCCAAATTGTAGTAGAAAAAGGTACGTATATATAACTCTGCTATTTTGGATTTTTTATATTCTAGTATTTTTGGTCGGCCACAATATGGGCTTTTTACTAAATCGTTATTCTCACTCATCATATTTCATATGCTGTTGTAAATGTAAAACTTTTCTTCTGATTTCAGTTTCTGTTTGTATCTCAACTTCTGAACATCATTCTGAGTAAGTTTAATTTTTATTCAGTGCATTTTACTTTGATGGATTTTAGCATTATTGCATTTTTAGAAATGAAAAGTATTAAAGTATTTTGTTGTCTTTTTTTTTAAGCTGCTTGTTGAAATAGGTTCCTGCTCTATGGAGCTCGTGACCTGGTGCAAGACAAGTTGGAATTTCCTAAGTTCAAAGTTCTGAGATGTTTTCTTACACAAAGGCAGTTAAGCAGCCAAGTTTATGACACTTGCTCTTGTTATTCAGCTCTTTTCAGCTTTCAAATGGGACTAGATTTTTATTCCACCTTATCTTTGTGTCAGGTTGACACATCCTAACATATATTTTTCTCCAGTTGGCATTCTCTAAAAATAACTTTTGTTGCTATGGTCTTTTCTTGAAATAATTTGTGTTTTTCTCTGCTATACTTGCTTTCAGAACAATATATTCCAAATGATATGGCTGTTTGTCTGTCTGTTTTGTCTGCTTTCTTAATTTCTTATAAGTCTTAAGTTTTTAGGCTAGATAATTGTCTTTTTCCTCATTCGTTTTCTGTCATTGTGCTATTTTTCTTATTTTTCAGATGCAGAAGCAGCCCAGAGATTTCAAAAAATGTCCAGGGTATACCTGGACAGTGTCCCCCTTCGATGGACACAACTGATGCCTGTTCTCTCTTTCCAAGGAATGTGAATAATTTGACTGTGGGGCCTGCTCTAGGTTGTGGCCTCAAGAAATCCGATCTTGGGGAGACTCCCTTCCTACATGACTGGCCTCCCACAAGGCTAATGCTGATTTGGCCAGAGATAGCTTCAAGGCCTACCAAATTGAGCACAATTCCCACTGGGGGCTTTGGCTCATGATCTTAAGCGTAAGAGCCAATTATCACCAAGGAAAGCCCGTTAAATCGACGCTTCAACATCCAGGTTGAAGTTTAGTTATTTTGTCTGCTGCCCTTAAATCCTTCTCTAGTATGAATGCAGTCCAAGGAATATAAAAACTCTGGTTGTTAGGAAACTGGCTACTTTCATATCCTTGGAACAACAGGTCTCTATAATTATGTTCCAAAACTGCAGTCATTTTTACTGACATTTAAAATTTATTAGCTAGTACTAACTCTATAATTTTATCAATAATACCAATTCTGAGAGTTTGATTTTTAAAAATTTTAGTAGCTTGACTTTGTGTTCTCCAAATTTACTGATGTCTATTTTATGATGTCTATTTTTTAATTTTTTTCTTTAAAATTTGTTTAGTGTTGCTCTGTCTTGTTAAGAACTCCAAGAGATTCTCTAGAATTCTCTACAAATTTTGTATTGCTGCCTTTTGTTTGTAGCTTTTTAATTTGGTTGTTATTCAGACCATTAGTCATTATTATTCTCTGTCCTAGGGTTATTATCATTATTATCTTAATTGTGAGTTCAAAGGTGTAAAGAATTGGCAAAGCTTTTTGCAGACCTTAAAAACAAATTTTAAAGTTACATATTTGTACATCTAATGTATGATAACTACTTAGCCATTAATATAGTTGCGTTGGTTAAAGATAACATGTTAGAAAACATATATATAGTAACCAATAATGCATGTATTCCTTTCCTATATATGTTTTAAATTTGGCATTTGTTTGTTTTGGTTACATTGAATATAAATCCAAACAATTTTGATACTATTAGTTCCTTTTAATAAAAAATATAATGTTTAAGTGCCTCAGGAATTATTTGCTAATGAATAAAAACTGTAGATTTTGTCCTATAAATAGAAGTATTGCTTAAATTCTTACATGGAAGCCTTGTTACTTGGCCTGCAGACTGAGAGCTGTATCTACTTTGTACACCTTGCATTTTTTCTTACAGCACAACTTAAGAGATTATACTATACTAATCTCTTAAATTTTAAAGACTAGCAAAATGCCTTTTGTGATCTTAGTAGCCATCAGGATAGGCAGACTCTGAAATTATGATTCAGTTGTGGATTTTTATTCTAAAATCAGAACTTCATTGTATTTTGAAGCAGATTTAAAGCCAGTTTAGATGATTACTTATTATGTAATGTGTTCCTTGCAATTAATAGTCAAAAAAGTCGACTCTATTCATTTTAAATATTCAAACTAATTTATATTGTAAATGAAAGATTTTCCAAAATCTCCAAAAGTGACTTGTTTCTTAGTAGTGGACTTAGTGATATACTAGTCTTTTTTGCTTGTCTCTCTCTAGGAAGTTTTATCATCTGCCCAGAAACAATAACTTCTTTCCCTTTTAAACATTAGTTCTCTATTCATTTACTGATACTCACTTTACCTTGGTCATTGTTCAAATATAATATAAACTACATTCTTCATATAGCCATGTAGGAATTCAATCAGCCCTCCATTTCCTTGGATTTCATATCAGTGAATTTAGCCAACCCTGGATTGAAAATATTTTGGGGAAAAAACCAATACAACAGTAAAAAATATACAAATAAAAATAATATAGTATAACAACAATGTATATAGTACTTATATTAGATATTATAAGTAATCTAGAGATGATTTAAAATACAAAGGAAGATGTAAGTTGGTTATATGTAAATACTGCATATAAGAGGCCTGATCATCTGAGAATTTTGTTACTTCTGGCTAGGGGTGGAGAATGGGGGGGGGTGGGAGTGGTGGGGGTGGTACTGTACCCGTTCCTCTGGGGATACCAAAAGACAACTGCACTGCTTTGTGTTCTTACATAGGATTATATCATTTTAAATTTGTATCAAATTCATTTTCTTCAAGTGTGAACTCTTAAAAGTTCTGTTACCTATAACTTCATTTTTTTAAAACAAAAATTTGTTTAAATGAAGCATTTGGCAGTCAGTGCAAAACTTGCTTATTTAGACAGTTAGTTGACTTACAGTTTGGTGCTAATGATTTTTAGCTTGAGTCCAATTCTTTCTTACCCTCATGTTATTTTAGTTTACTCACCTGATCAGAAGTAACCATTTCATGCATGTGTGCTTTCTAATTACTACTGAATAAAAGATGTGATTGGTTTAGTTTGAGTTCATCACCATTCTTAGAAAAATAACTCTTAAACTATAGAGGCTTGGACTCCTACCCTATTTGTGTCACATTTTGGCTAAATACATTGCCTCTTTGGGCCTCATTATTTAGTCAACAAATACTTATTGAGCATATACTTTGTGCCTGGTACTGTTCTAGGTGCTAGAGAAATTGACTGACATCTCTGCCCTCATGGTACTTACATTTTAGTGGTGAAAGATAGAGAATAAAAGGTAATAAGGTATATAATATGTTAGATGATGATCAATACTATAGAGAAAAAATGAAGTAAAATAGGTAGATAGAAGAGTATGGGGTAGAAGTTGAGGGGCTGCCATTTTAAATTTAGTAATCAGGGAGGCATCGACTGAGAAATGACATTTGGGTAAAAACATGAGGGAGGCAAGGAAGTGAGTAGCTTGGATATATATCAAAAGAACATTCCAGAGAGAAGAAACACCTAGTACAAAAGCCCTGAAGTGGGATAATTTCTGATTTAAGAAACTGTGAGGAGGCTGGTTCAGATGCAGTGGAGTGAGCAAAAGGAAGACTAGTAGTAGGCAGGGGAGGAGGTAGTGTGAGGTAATGTGGGCCACGTGGTATAGGTCTCTATAGAGCATTGTAAGGAATTTGGCTTTTACTCTGAAGTGAGAAGTCATTAGAGGATTTTAAATAGAAGATACCGCAATGAAAACCAAAATAAGCAAAAACCCCAAATAAGGAATAGTGTCTTTATAATTCTGACTGCTCTCTCTCTCTCGCTTTCGCTCTCGCTTGATCTCTCTCTCTTAATTTTTTATTATTTTAAAGCTGGCTGCTCTCTTGAGAATAACTGTAGAAAACCAAGGGCAAAATTAGGAGATCAGTTAGGGGGCTATTGTAATAATCCAGGTAGAAGATGGTGGGGACTTAGACTAAGATGCTAGCAGTATAGGTGATAAATGGTTTGATTTTGGATGTATTTTGTTGATGGTTTGGATGTGAAATGTGACAAAAAGTGTTGAAGATGACTCCATGGTTAGTAGTCTGAACAACTAAAAAGTTGGTTTGATACTGAGATGGAGAAGACTATGGGAGGTGTAGATTTGGTAGGGAAGATAAGGACTTTGATTTGGGACGAGTTTTGGTTTGAGATACCTAGTAGATATCCTAGTGGAGATGTCATAGTTATTTTCCTGTATGAGTTTAGGGGGGTGCTTTAGGCTATCAGTACCATTTAATGCTTTTAAATGTTATGAGATCAAATACCACTAAAACTGGGGAAATCTAAATAAAATAAAAGGGTACATTGTATTACTATCAATATCCTGGTTGTGATAATAATAATTTTGTGAGATGTTATCATAGGGAGAAACTGGGCAAAGAGTGCACGGGATCTCTTATAGTATTTCTTACAGCTGCATGTGAATCTGCAATTGTCTCTAAATTTTAAAAAAAATTCAATTTTAAAAAAGTCATGGAGCTATATGAGAAATATATACAGTAGAGATAGCGAAAGGGCAAGACCCACAGACTTAGCTCTGGGGAATTACACAATAAAAGGTTAAGGAAATAAGAAGGAACCAACAAAGGAAACTAAGAAGTTATGGCCAATAATATGGGAGGAAAACCAGGGAACTATCAGTGTCCTGGGAACCCAAATTACCCTATCGTAAAATGTGTGTACTAACTTGTTTTAGAGTTCTGGGGTTCTATTATTCAGTATTGATTATACCTGTATGTCATAATTTATTCTTATGAGAAGATGAATTTAGAATGCCACATTTCCTTATCCCTAGTAGCAGAAATAGGGAATCCTGACCGTGAGAAATTAAAATGTCATACTCCTAGGCATGTTTAATTCTCTGCATGTATTCTTGCAAAATTCTCTTGCATTTCTATAAAAGAAGATAACTAGGTAGTGCTTCCCCAATTCTGTACTATAGAACTAATGTCCATAATTTACAAATGGTCTTGGAGAAAAAGTTCCCGTGGTCAAATAAGTTTA